GGCTACCGCCTTCTGACTCAGGATCTCCCACTCCTTATCGATTTGGCCTGCCGGTCTCTCATCAAGGATAATGGGCTCATGTAAATCTTTGCAATAGAGATGATCTTCCATCATTGGTCTCCACTAAGTGAAATTGTTTGCGGTCAGCTTGAACATATCTTTGTCATGAGTTATGCCACTGGTCTCCATCTCATCTTCCTCAGAACCCGTCGAACTCAGGCTCTGATACCACTTTTGGGAACTCGGTTGGGACAAGTCAGTCCCTCAACTCGGTTTCTACTTCCTTCTTGCGGAAGTCAATTAACAAGATCCTGAATCTCGGATCTCTGCAATATGAACTAGGCCTTAATCACCAGGTCCTCCAGCGCAGTGGAAAAAATGAAAAATGCAGAGGAGAAAGAGAGAGAACACAAACAGATTTTAACGTGGGAAAACCTTATCCAATGAAGAAGTAAAAACTTACGGGACCTTATCTAGTTCAAACGTCCACTATGATAATAATGGGTACAAAGAATCAACCTTCACCAAAGTGGTGGTTCACTCAACCTCTCCAACAATGGTGATAATCAAACTTCCTTAGAGATGTTTCACTCAAACTCTCTCTAGAGGTGCTGTCAAATGCAAAGCTCAAAGCTTTACTCATAAATCTCTCAAGTGTCACTCAAGAGTCTCTCAAATTATCTTCTAACCTAGCTTTCCACCCACAACTAATGAATATATAGAGGAGGTGAAATATAAAGTTTAGGATTTTAGGAAACCCCTCAATGGGCTTGGGCTTAGCATTGAAGGAGGAAGCCCAACAATTTTGACACAAGCTATTGTAGGTCACAGGTCAACCTGCATATTTTATTCACTTTTTCCTTTCTATTTTTAAATTTTTTTAAGAAAACAAATTTTGAATTTTGATATATGAACTCCTGTGACCCATGATCCACGGCAGGTCGTGTCTAAATTTTAATTTTTGACCCGTGACAAAAAATGTTATACTTAGGTTAGATAATTTAATCCACAAATTAGATATTGACACGACACAAATCCGACTCGTTAATGCATTTTACCACATCTAATACTTAGTATTATATAGGACTATTAAATACATATATCACGTGACACCATATAATTGCGCCGTATGGAATAACGTTTTGTACGTACAGGAGGATACTATATGCAAAACAATCCTTTTTTCTCTTAAAACTCAAAGTCTTTTATTTCAAATTAAAGAATAAGGAGGAAGAAATGATTTTTATTTTTATTTTTTTTGTATAACAGAAATGATTCATTTTAAATTAAATAAAGAAAAATAACTTCCTTCATTTTCATCCCTTTTATTTCGTGAATAATCATATCCATCTCTTTATTACCAACCTTATCTCTCATCAAAACAAGACTTCCTCTTAATTTTTTTTTTGTAGAGATAAGGCTAGGGTCAGTAGTTTTGAATGATGGTTTGTGTAACATCCCTTGCTTCAAATGTTTATAAGGAATATTACATGATTTCTTTTATTTATATTTATATTTACGTTTTCGCACAATCAGTGAGAAATAAGATGGAAAGAAGTTAATGTTATTTAATTAATACATATTGATGATAATAACAATAAAGAAAATTACATAAACATCTACTAACATTACTTTATAATGTTACATCAGGTACAAAAGAAAGTTAGTTTACATAGGTCCTACAGTCTACTAAATATTACATCACTCCAGTTTATATTTTACATACCGTCATCACATAATTATACAATACAAAAGTCTTATCCTAATTTAGTCTATAGGTGTAGGTCTCCACACTCTCAGCATATACTACAATATAAAACTCCATGCGGTCCTCGTAAGAGTAAATATTGATACTCCATCCTTCTCCTGCTAAGCTTAGACTAGGCATTATGATTTTCTGGAAAGGTTAGCATAAAAACAAACACACGTGAGATAAATCTCAGTAATATTGAGGTTTTTTAACTATAACCATTTTCAGCCGTAATAACGGAAAATACCATTCTCTCAGATAATTTAATAAAATGAAATAATATAATAAATAATACATTATGTAATATTTAACTGAAGCTAAATAATTTTCCAACTTTGTGGTTTTCTGCATATGAAAGATTTATTGTGGAGGAGCTCAAACCACGATAAGGCGCCCCTTACCCTATAATCGTCTGAACTCAAACTCTGTGGTTCAGTTCATAGCAGTCTTCATCAGTTAAATTTACACATTCTCTTCATAATTATTTGGTACCAATTAATTACTCCACTACGTAATCAGTAGGTGAAAAGAAATAAAATTAAAAAGGAAACCACTGCAAATGAATAAAATCAAAGAATAAAGTTAAACAGAAGAATATATAAAGAAAAGAGTTCGGTAAGATGACAAAAGTATTAAACTTAAACATCGTTTTCCCAAAATGATTGCAAAGAATACGAGAGAATGTTTTTAAACCTCTCAATATTACCTTATGCTTTGTTACTGCCTCGTCGTTTTCTTTCTTTCTTTTTCTGTTGATTTCTCTTTCTCTTTTCGCTGGCCTCTCTCTCTTTTGTCTTTCTTCTCGTTGTTCTCTCTTTCTTTTTATGCACAGCGATATATATATATATATATAAAAGTATATAAAGAAACTTGCTTACGGTTACATTTCGTTAGATTCGAACGTAACTAGTAACTAAGTAATCATTACTATTCAGATAATAACTATTCACGTAATACGTTTCTAGAAAGATTCTCGTAAACGTTTATCAGATAGCTCCACGTTTACGTACTAAGTTTTATTTACTTTCTGTAATATATTCATACATTTTTTTATTTTTATCAATTATTATATTATTATTAGTATTATTTATTTTATTATTAATATATTATATATTATATACATTTATCTTAATATTTAATTACTTATTTCTTTTTATCATTATTATTATTATTATTATTATTATTATACATATACGTAAATATATATATATATATATATATATATATATATAAATATATATATATATATATATATATATATATATACACGTTCACGCGCTTCGCGTAAATATTGACGCAAACGGCGTCTGATACATATCCTCGTCTGATACATATTCACGCCCTTCGCGTAAGAATTGGCGCGACTGGCGCCAATTTTGGCGCTATTGGCGTCGTTCTCTTTTCTTTTTTTTTTTCTTTGGACTCTTGGCGCCAAAGGCGCCAATTCTGGCGCTAATGGCGTCATTTTTCATTTTTTTTTTAATTTAATTTTTTTTTTAAAATTTGAATATTATAGTTTGAAAGTGGGGGAGCGAGAGAGGGAATAGAGGGAATTTTTTTTTTAAGTTTGAAACTATTTATAAGCACAAGTTAAACTAAATAGGTTTTGAGAAAAATTTTTATAATGAAAAACTCTTTTTTTTATAATGAAAAAAAAAGTCAAAAGCTCGTAGAAGAAGCTCTTTTTTAAGTTTTTATCTACTTTTCTTGAATTATGTGTTTTTTTTTTTAAATGAAGAGTTATAAAGATAGAGAGATAATTTTCTTGAATTATGTACTTTTAAGCTAAATATTTTATATAATTACCAAATAACTTTTATCATTTTTTTTAAACTCTTTTTTTTAACTTTAACTTGTAAGTAGCTTCTAGCTTAAAAAATGAGAGGATCCAAACAGGCTCTTAGTTGTGAGTTATCATTTATGATTTTTTTTCCATATAGATAGGGATCACAGTCTTTTAACTTGATACAAGTCTTTAATCGTGAGCATCATCGGTATTCTTTTAGTGATATAAATAAAGGGTTTGTTGTTTATTCTTTTAGAAGACATTAAATTATATCATCTTAAGTAAGAAAAAGACACAACTCTATGTCCTTTAAAAGAACAAATATTTTTCTCATAAATAATTGTAACTTAAAAAAACAATATTACAGTTATAATTTTGTTCCCCTTTACAAAATTTCCTGACTCCACCAGTAGTTTGAACCCAAAAAATTCAAATGAGTCACTTAAGGTTAATTATGTTTCGACCTATGTAGCAAATATCAACCAACCCGAAAGCCTAATAAAAATGCTAAAAGGTGTTTACCAAAAAAATAAAATGCTAAAAGGCAGTGTATAAAAAAATGCTAAAGGCAAACCAGAAAAAGAAATACTTAAGATAAAGCCTAATAAATGGGAAGCTTTAGTCCAGATGCAGATGTAAGTTGTCTTAAATATCACCCCAGACTTATCAAACTCCAATAAAAATTATCTACCGTTATTCCAATTATATCGATATAGACATATAGTCTTTATACACATTCAACAATCACAAATCAAATTAAATTTTATAATATTAAGTGTTTTTCGTAAATACTCGCTATTAATTAAGTAAAGGAAAAGTTTTATAAATACCCTCAACGTTTTCCTCGGATTAATATTTCTCATATGGGATAATTTTATTTCTTATACATCCATAAAAATAATGACCGAATAAAGTTGAACGAGAAAACTTTCAGATTATACCAACAACAAAAAAAGTATCTAGAACCTATATTTTTTTTGGGTTTGTTTTTTCTAAAGTTACTTTAGATAACTTTATCTAATGTTTATCGAAACGACGCCATTTTGGAACTGAAATCATGGTGTTTTTGTAATTTTAATTTATTTCAGGGTTATAATAGTCTTTATCATTCTAATTTTTTAATTCTTTAACCCCAAAACGATGTCGTTTCGATAAACATTAGACAATGTTATATAAAGTAACATTAGAGACTTTTTTCCCATTTTTTCTCTCTCTTTCTTTTCTTCACATGGCCCCACATGGGTCGCACGTACTTTATATGTGTATAGAAGATAAAATTATCTCATAAAACATTAATCCCAATAAAAAAATTCCTTAATTTTTCGGAAAAAGTTCAAAAACATGTTGCTCATGAATTTACGAACCTTAACCTTGGACTAACAGTAATGCCAAAACCAGTTCAGGCAGCAAAGCTTAACAAGCCCAAAAGATGTTGCTCATGGAGAACTTTAAGCCAGGAACCACATCTATTGGAATTAATTAAAGTTATAAAATGAATATAAGACACATAATACCTAAAATTCATTCATAAAGCAGGAGACAATGGCTAACCAAAAAGAAGGTGAAAATGTAAAGCTACCTAGCTCCCACTTAGACCTGAGTTTGTTTTCTTTTTCGTTATTAAAAGAACCAATGTGTGACTCAAGAGAGGGAGAAGCCAAATAAAGAAATCTGCTGACTATGATTTATGAATCATAAAAAAATAAGGACATCTACTAACTCTACATTTAACAAAATAAATATATGCCCGCCTCTGATGTTAGACACCAGATAATTTCAGGTCCCCAAGCTACTTACATAAGTTGGAAATATCTTGAATCAAAATCACAAGTAGAATAATTTTGTCAGCTGTTTGGAACTCAATACTGCTTGTGCCATCACTCTGAGCTTGTGGTGTTGTCACCTGCAACCCAATACTGCTTGACAGCAAACAACACCTTCTCCGAAACCAGTGGACCATCCTCATGATCCACCATTTTGATATTCCATCTCATTCCTCTCACAATTCTTTTCACCTTCATTAGCACATCCATTTGATCTCGGAATATTACTGCTCCTTCTGGCCGTAAGATACGGTCCATCTCCAATAGAATGTCTTCTGCATTACACCTGTATTGATCATTTGAGTCAGGGAAAGCCTGAAGTAGTTGTTTTTCCTTACACACCTGTTTCCCAGGTGGTTTCTACTATCTACAACAGGATCTATTATAAACATTTAGCATGTTTACCAATATGTAGTTATCTTTCCGGTTACAGAACCTTCATTTAGTCTAACCAGGTGCTTAGACAATTACAACTAGCCATGAAAAACTATAATTCATATGGGATAAAGGTAAAAATATAAAAGGAAATGCGAAAGAAATAAACTTACTCATTCTTGTATAAGCTGAAAACACCATTTGCATGGATGAGGTCATAGGTCCTTGGATATGTGGAAAAGGCTTCACACCTGGTAGGAAAAAGAATTATTCAACAGAACAAGGGTCTCTCTTACCCCCTTCTTTTCCCATTTGAACAGTATGAGAACATAACTATTAATATGCCAGCTAAACTCAACATTAACTATCTCTGTCTTACTTAACATTGCTGCACTAAATTCAGATTAAAATTCTTGCATAGTAAATAAAATGGAAATCCATTGAAAGCAAAGTTTAGCAGAAATTATTTCTTAAGAATTTGTGAATGTGATCCTAGTACAGAAAGTTCGGCAGTATATAAACTATTTTTCATCCTGTGCTTATGTTTCATTACCTTCGACTAATTATCATTTCTGCACCTGAGCAATTAACTCAACCAAGTCCTTCAACAAAATGACTTTGACCAGCCTAACAGGTTCAGTTTTGAACTAAGGAATAATGAGTGTCACAAAAAGTAGGGATATATGGACATTGATAGAACTAAGAAAATGTAAGAAGAGAGACAGGAGAGAAAAGAGAGTTCTTTGAAGTGATTCAGAATGGAATGAAATTATTGTCTCTGGTTTACACAAGTACATTCTTTTATAGGTGTAACTGTCTCAAAAGTTATGTAACTAACTGACAGCCAAAACTGACAATTGTTCAACAAATTCAGATTTATTGCAGACTCGGCACAGATACACAATGCACAAGTGTTGTAAGTACACAGTACACAATTAGAGTCATATACCCCTTTCCCTTAAACTAAGGGTGAGCTGCACAATGAAAATTGATACACGGCCCTTAGTTCATGTAGTTAACAAAACCGCAGTGAGGAAAGAGCTTTAGTTGAAGCATCGGCTATCTGATCCTGCACAGGGATGTGCTGCATTGTGAGACTCCTGCTAATGACCTTCTCATGGACAAAGAAGAAGAGGTCAAGTTCTATGTGCTCTGTTCTCAAATGCAGGACAGCGATATATTAGAGTGAAACGGTGCTCAGGTTGTCACAGAAAATAATGGGAGTATATGAGATTTTAGCTCTTGAAAAGGAATTTGAATCCACAAGATCTTTGAGGCAATGTTTTCCAAACTACGGTATTCAGCCACTGTGCTGGAATGAGAGGGGTTGTATCTTGGACTACTAGAAAATGAGATTGGGCCCAAGAAAGATGCAGGACCCAGATGTGGACAGTCTATCATCTGGATTACTAATAAAGACCTTCAACACAAAACAGACCAAACAACAGAAAACTCGGGATTTTGATCTGATAAACCAAGATTTTCATATATCCATGGAATTACAAAGAGACATTACAACCAAATGACAATAAACAGAGACAGCAATTATAGGGAAAGGAAAAATAACAGTGAACTGGAAAACGAAATGACAATGCAACAAAGGAAAATGATAATGTGAGACAATTGGAGAGGTCTCACTCTCTCCCAAGGTTCCTCTTCCAACAATATTCCAAGATTCTCATCAGAATGCTGATCCCCTCCTCCAAATAGAACCAGCTCCCCCTACGTGACCCAATGCCATCCAATGTGCCTTCCCACAACTAGTCTCCACTCCTAACAACTTTTGCTTACTCAACATAATGCAATATTCCCCTGCTTCTCTTTCTTTTATACACCCTTCTAAACTGTTTACTGACTAGGATCGTATCAATACTCCCCACCTAAAAATCACCTTGTCCTCAAGGCGATGATCAATTTCTAGGGTCCCATTGCTTGAAACGTAATGGCCAACTAATGCATGAATATAACCTCCACCGGGAACCCATTGCCCCTCTTCAATTCTTCCATGTGGTTTTGTGAATAAGCTGTCAAGGGTCTCTGCACTAGTAAAAATGTTGGCTTTACTTGCCACACCAGTCATAATATTGCCAATATCTAGAAATTTTGTAGCAGCCCACATTGCTACTGTTAGAATAGATATGATTAGATATGATTAGATTACTTCCTATCTGTAAATATTCTTTTGGATTAGTTCTGGGCTTCTCACTTAAGCCCATTAAGGTCTCTATATATTGTAACTCTTTATATCAGATTAATATAACAACATATTATTTCATATTTAAGTTGGTACCAGAGCTCTTTTGTTCTGGGGACCCTCGCTTCTGCTAAAAACCTTGTTTTCGCTTTAAAACCTAAGCCCACTGCTTAGGAGTCCTCTTTTCTTTGTTGTGCGTCCTTCCGACAAGCCATCAAGGGCTGTAAGCCCCTTCTGAGTAATTTCCGAATGCGTCAGCACCTCCGACGGTCACCGGAACCACCGTCTGTCACTGTTCAGGCCGCCGAAGAAGTTTTCCGGCGAGTTTTCAGCCCAGACCACACGCGATCAGAACCGTCTCCTCCCGGCGACCAAGTCTGTGGAAGTCTGACCACCATCGCAGCCGTCACGCGCCACCGGTCTCCTCTGCGCGTGGTGCTCACGCGCCACCTTCTGCCGGCGCATGTGCACTGTTCCGGTAGCTTTTTCCGGTCGGTCTTGGACAGAGAAGCTCGCCTCCTCCTCCTCTTTCCAGATCTGTGGTTCTTTGTGGGTCTCACTTTTTGTGCGTACCTCTTCTTGATTCGCGGTCAGGTTAGTTTCCATTCACTTGGTTGTTTATCCTTGTGATTTATTATAATGGAAGCATCTTCTACTATTCACTCGGAGACCAGTTCTCCCTCTCGTCCTGCCAAAAGTTCCCGTAATGTCATCTCCACCAATGTTGGGCCCATTACCTCTTCAAAGCTGAAGGGTTCTGTTAATTACAAGAACTGGGCAACCTCTGTTCGAGTTTGGTTCTTTGGACAGGGACATGGGAACCATCTCACGACTAAATCTACTGATATTCCCAAGGAGGAAAAATCTGATTGGGAAAGGCTTGACAACCAGCTTCTGAGTATCCTTTGGCAGTCTATTGATCCAGTCGTTTTGGACATCTTCTATTCTTTTCAAACTTGCACTGAAGTGTGGGAGGAAGCAAAACACCTCTACACTAATGATGTTCAGTAGCTCTATTCCATCATGTCTCAGTTTATGGATCTGCGCAAATCATCTGACACTCAGATGGAGACATATGTTGGCAAAAGTCGATCTTTGATGCAGACATATTTGGATATGTTGCCCTACCCTACTGATGCTTCTGCATATCGGAAACAGGTGGAACGTCTCTTTATGGTTGCCACACTTTCTGGTCTCCCTGAAGAATATGATAATGTCCGGGTTACTATCTTGACTAGTGGGGATCCTGATCTATCAATGACGTATCAGCGTCTTCTGAATCTTAATAAGAAATCTGCTCCTGCATCATCTGCTGTTGTTGATTCCACTGCTCTAGTTTCCCGTACTGACTTTCGCGGGAACATTGGAGGTGGACGTGGTCGTGGTAGAGGCCAGGGAGGACGTGGTCAGCGACCTCGTTGTCATTATTGTCAGCAACTTGGTCATTATGAGGAACGTTGCTACACAAAGTATCCTCACCTGCAACCTTCTCAAGTTGCTAATATAGCTCAATCGGATACTGCTTCAAATGGTACAATCTCTCTCTCCTCTGAAGACTATGCAGCACTCCAGACTCTTCTCAGGAAGGCCTTTCCTCAGTCTCAGGCCTCTGCTTCAGAAACTGGTAATCCCGTTGCTTGTGTTTCTCATTCTGCATCACTTGGTCCTTGGATATTTGACTTAGGTGCTACTGATCACCTCTGTGGTAATAAGGAACTCTTTTCATCCCTTACATATTCTGATAATTTACCCTCTTTTACTCTTGCTGATGGCACTAAGGCCTCTGTTCATGGGATTGGACAAATCTGTCCAGCCTCCTCATTGACCTTGACATCTGTCTATTACATTCCTGACATCCCTTATAATTTAATATCTGTTAGTAAATTGATCAACTCTCTTAACTGTATTGTCACCTTCTCAAACCATTCTGTTTCTGTGCAGGACCCGGGTACGGGGAAGACAATTGGAGTGGGCCGTGAGTCACGGGGTCTGTTCTACCTGGTTGTGCCGAGTCCTTCAGTTGCTTGTTCTCTCACAGAATCTCCATAACTCATCCACAGTAGCCTTGGGTATCCTAGTCTTTCAAAATTGCAGAAGATGGTTCCTTTTTTATTCGGTCTTCAGACTTTAGATTGTCAGTCATGTTAGCAAGGGAAGCACATATGCTCATCCTTTGCTAATCGAGTCAACAAACGAGCTGATGCTCCTTTTTCAGTTATTCATTCAGATATTTGGGGTCCTAGTCGTAGTGTGTCTGTTTTAGGTTTTCGGTATTTTGTTACCTTTATTGATGATTTTTCACGTTGTACTTGGATTTATTTAATGAAAAAACCGTTCTGAGTTATTTTCTATTTATCAAAAATTTTCTGCTGAAATTCATACTCAATTTGGTGCTTCTATTCGAATTTTACATAGTGATAATGCTAAGGAATATGTTTCTGTTGTCTTTTCTAATTTCTTAGCCACACAGGGTACTTTACACCAAACTACTTGTCCTCACACTCCACAAAAAAATGGAGTAGCTGAACGTAAAAACAGACATCTCATTGAGACTTCACGGACTCTTCTTATTCACATGCATGTTCCTCTTCACTTCTGGGCCGATGCAGTCCTTGCCTCTTGTTTTCTCATCAACCGTATGCCTTCATCTGTGCTTAATAATGACATTCCTTATAACTTATTGCTTCCAGATGTTCTTCTCTATCCTCTATCCCCACATGTCTTTGGTTGTACCTGTTTTGTTCATGATCTCACTCCTGGTACGGACAAGTTAACATCCAAAGCCTTTAAATGTAATTTTCTTGGTTATTCTCGTCTTCAAATGGGTTATCATTGTTATTCTCCCGATCATAAGTGTTACTTTGTTTCTGCTGATGTCACTTTTCTTGATCAACAACCCTTTAATTCTATCCCATCTCAACTGTCACAGGTTGATCATGTTCTTCCTGTTCCTTTTCTTGACTTGTCTTTGCCAGCTGCAGGTGCTTCTATTCCAGATGAGCAACCTGTTGCTTCCATACCTGAGGACTGTCCACTTCTCACCTATCAGCGTCGCAA